TCAATCAGTACACTCATCAGCCATATGGATGTGGTTCTATCACTGATGGAAATTACAAGTTGGCGGTTCACATCTCCAATTATGTAGTAGAATTGAATTTTGAAAAAGGTATACGCGTTAAAATAGCTGGGGAGATTGACAGATCAGGTATGTACCTCTAATTATGACTCAATATTTTTGTTGGACAATAAGTGAATGGAGGTATTTATTTATCAAACAAAAATCAAAACACAAATTTCTAGGAGAATTGATGATTCTTCGCTGTTTAGACACTGATTCTGTTGTGGAAATATCAGATGTGCCTAGGATGACAGCTCAAATGTTATCTCGAGGAATAAAAACCCCAAAAAGAGGACTGCAGCAAGAATAAGGTTATGTATTCTTCAATTATAAGAGTATAGATTATACTTTTTGGGTTTGTCTTGAACATCGTAATACATTATTTTCAATTCTATATAAAAATGAAAAACTTGGTAGTTTGTTTGAATATGGATTTCTTTGTTTGTAATTTGAAACACTTGAAATTTTCTATTATTTGTAACCATACATTCCTTTTTTAAAATTCGATTGAATTGAATTATATTAAGAGTATAGCTTTACGTACACCAGTTATGTATTTTATATGACATGTGATTGAGTTGAGCATAAAATGCTCAGTGTTAATTAATAGTCTAAGAGTATATAATAAGATATATTGCAGTTCAGATTGTATCACTTATACATATATATATATAGTTTTATCAAAAAAATATCCAAAAAATTTGTAAAATGCTATGTATTCATTTCAAAATGTTCATCAAAGTGAGACTGAACTAATTTATATCGATTACAAACCGTATTATAAACTAATAAAATGTTTCTTGCTCTATGAGTCTTTAACTACATGAATAATGTAAAAAATATAATGAGCGACACAATGTGAATACTAGGGGCTATCAGAATACTCATAAAAATATACATGAAACATAACTAACAATAATTTTAATATTAAGATACATTCAACTTACAAATAAATGTAAACGCTATTTATATAAAAAAATATTGCACATCAAGAATGTAAATGATTCTAAACAGTAATTGCACTTTCATAAGGTATTCGTACGTACTATCCGCTTTAGATTAGTAACCATGCATTTCTTTTTTGTAATTTGATTGAACTGAATGATACTAAGCGTAGTTTTAGACCAGTTATGTATTTTAGATGACATGTGATTGCGTTGAGCATAAAATGCTCAGTATTAATTAATAGTCTGAGAGTATATAATTAGATATATTGCAGTTCAGATTGTATCACTTAAATGTATAGTTTTATAGTTTTATCAAAAAAATATCCAAAAAATTTGTAAAATGCTAAGTATTCATTTAAAAATGTTTATCAAAGTGAGACTGAACTAATTTATATCGATTACAAATAATATTATAAAACGAATAAAATGTTTCTATCTCTACGAATCTTTAACTATATGAATAATAATGTAAAAAAATGTGAATACTAAACAAAATGTAATATATTAAGAATAATTGAGGTTATTACATAGTTCATACATAGTATTTGCGTTTTTCTGCTGCAATTCTAAACATCTCATTAAATTGTAAAGTTCGTATTTATTTTTTTTAATAGTGTTGTCCTGTAAAAAATTGTAACCGTGTAGTCATGTAATGTCAATTGCACTCCGTCTTCTATTAATACAGTTTATCTGGTTGAAACTTCGAACATTACATTATTGTTATATAAAAAAAATTACAAAGTAAAAAAATATACATAATGTATAAATGTATACAGATGACATAATGTATAAAAAAAATATAGCACTAGATCTGGATTAATGTTATATTTTTATGTACAAAAATAAGTTAAAAAGTATAGTATGAAATGTATAAATGTACAGATGACATACTGTATACGAAATATTGCACTTAATATGTTGTTTAAAAATATTGCACTTATAAATAATGTAAACGCAGTTGATAAGTATTCGCACTGTGATGAGCTAGGTACGTACTTTTATAATAATACGAATGAAAAACCTCCATGCCAGCAGGTTTAAAATTAAGTTGATTGCAAAGATTTTAGTTTAGTAAACTGTATGTACTAACTTATTCATGTTTGTATAGCATATCTGTAATGAATGACTTTTTTCTATAAGATGATGATTATAAAATATGTAGTCTTCTGTGAAATAATGTACTCTGTAATTAATTACAATAAAGTTCCAATAAAATCAAGTCTTTCGATGTTTGAATAATGTACAAATGTAACATTAAGATTAGCATTGTGGTTATTACTTAAAGTACATACTATTAATGTCTTTCTGCTGCCATTGTACAAGTATAATGTTCGTATTTATATTTGTTGTATTGAAGTGTAAAAAGTGTAAAAATTGGGTTATTGGGTTGGATTATTGGCTGTTGAATGCTGATGTCTGGTTGCAAAATTATTGTCCCTCAGAGTGAGAGAGACAGCAATAGGATAAGAGGAATGGATGTCCCATCTATCGTGTGGATCTTACCTGTTGCTGTCTCTCTCACTCTGACGGACAACTTAACCTTTATAAGCTACAGAGTCACGTGACCTTAATCTCATAACGACCACGCTTATTCCATGCTCAATTTACGGTTACATCAAAATTGCAAGCCACTGCAAGCCACGTTCTTCAGTGTTCAATAAATTGATGATACACTTCAATTTCTGTAGTGAGAAATTGAACCTCTTAGTTGGCTTCATCTACTCTCAAATTAATTAAGCAGAGCGATTAAAAACAGGTCAGTAATATAATTTGATTTGAAAGGAAATATTTTACATTTTGATTGCATAACCTTCAAAAAAAGATATTTTTTATATTGAGGCACAGTTGAACGCACACAATTCATTAGCATTTCCAGTTTGATTTGATAATTTGTAGACAGTGACTCGATTTTCTGTTTTCAATATCTTCACAAAATTAGTTTCAATTTATGATTCATAAAAATTTGGGTGCAGATGCAGACTTCACCGTAAAGTGTATTTAAAAAAATTATTACCATGTGTTTTTGGATCTTTCATGCAATCGATCGGTTATTCTATATGTGAATACTATTCTAATCAAAAAAATACTTTTTTTTTGATATTTCAGAGTTTTTTATACGACCACAACAGGCCTCACAACTGATTATGCTATCAATAGTTTGGAGTTTGGAGGATTAAATTAATAATTATCTTTTTTTTCAAAAGTGAGTGATTTTTATACAATGATAGCAGTAATATAGCTTACGTCATCGCTTTCAAAAATTTATTGATTTATTTTTCAATAGACTTCTGATACTGGAACTTGAAAAACAAATGATTCTTACGTAATTTTATTCACATTTCCTTTTACAGTTATTATTATTTTAAAATTTACTTTACTTGAATAATTTCTGAATGCAGAATATCATTTCAATGCTTCAGTCAATTAATTTATCGAAGATTGTGATAGCAAATTGTACTTTGGTATTTGTGTACCTAAACAAACTATGAGTATATTTTATTTTGAAATCTTCATCGTTAAATTACTTTTGCATCGTTGACAATTGGAGTCTGAATAAAATGAAACAGTAATCTATTTTTTTTACTTTTTTTTACATTATTAACATAAAGTAATGTATTTTTTTATTTCTTTAATTAATTTATAATTTATGATCTACAAAATTAAATTTTTTTTGTTTCAGGTGGTTCATAAAAAAAGGATATTGTTTGTGTGTGTTATGTAAATTAACAGCATCAATAATAATGTAACTTTACATGATGTATACAACATTGGATATTTTATAAATAAATAACATTTTTGACTCACCTCAGCATTTATTTACTCATTTACTTAAACATTACATACGCTTACCATTACATAATATCATGTTACCAGACAAACCAAACCAAACCGAATCAACCCAAACCAAACCGCACCAAACCAAACCAAACCAAAAATAGACCAAAACAAAATACCAAACCTTAATTACATAATTAACGAACAATATTTAGAAAAAAATTCAATTACCAGTTCTGTGACGGTAAACGTCAAATTAGCGCTGACCATTTAGCATAATTGCTGCCTGTGAGGGCAGCACCTGCCGGGGGGACAGAATAGGTAACGAAGGAATTCGGCACGCGAGCAGACGGAACGCGCGCGAACGAATTTGAACCAGTGAAGCATAGACCATCATAGTGTCCGCCCGCTTTCGCTACCGCAATCGCCAATTCACGAGCCCTTATCAACGATACACCAGATCAGCTGATAACCGAGAGTGCCAGATAGCCGTGACAGCTGCCTCCAAGGAGCCATCCGGATACCAGCTGAAGGCCAAGCAGTGTACGTGTGTGTGAGGTTTCGCCATCGAGGGCGAAACCACTCCGTGCGCGCATTCGCGAGCCGCGTAAGAAACAATAAAAACAGTTCCGCTCTGTGCGAGGTATTCGTGTTGTTCTCCGATCGCCTGCAATTATAAGGTAAGCTGGCCAGCTTAATTTCGCGATCGCGAATATACGAATAACAATTTGATTCTAACATTCGATGCGTGCATGTAACGGCTCTAATAACAAAGAGCAGCGAGCATATCGGCAAAGCGTGTTGTCGACGAGCGAGCGTATATGTAAACAAACGCGCGGGCCGACCTTTTGTGAATTTTGGAGGGACAATAAAAGATCCGATCTACATTACTAACAAGTGTTTTCATTGATTCTCTCATTTCACATAGCTTCCACTCAATTTAGTATAGGTTATCAATGATTATCGGTTGACTGACGCATACTTTCTCATGCTCTCCCGGATAAGTAGTGAGCATTGACGATTTACGCGCGTCCCTTAATGTAATTGCGCGATATAATTTATTAAACGGTCATACCCCGTTACAGTTCATAATTAAATTCTTTTATTTTGTTCCAACATTTTTAATTGTACGTATATTATACGATTCCTACTTCTTTACATTTGAATTAATTTACTTACTTTACTTTTATTTAATTTAATTAATTATACAAATATATCATGGGTCGCAGAAAACTTACAGAAGACGAAGCAGCACTGTCAAAACACAAAAGACGTACTACAAAAACACAAAATCAAAGCCGTAGACGACAACTAGCTCGACAACGTATTGTTGATAATAACCGCAATATACTAGAATCTGTTACAACAGATTATTTAGGTCCAATGAATATTTTGTGTCAACATTGTAAAGCTAAGCATTTCAAAGATGAAACGGTTTCAAATAAAGGATTGTCCTTTAATGATTGTTGTGGTCACGGATCAGTAAAATTAAATCCTTTACCAACTTTACCGCATGAACTCAAGACATTATTCGACGGAGAACATGATAAATCATCAAGATTTTTTGAGCGTATACGAAATTATAATAATTCTTTATCTTTTGCTTCATTCAACGCAAATTTGGTTAGTTTTCAAACGCGTCAAGCAGGTCCGTTTTGTTTCAAAATCCAGGGGCAAATATATTACCAAATTAATACAGCCCTATACCCTAGCGAAGGCGAAAGTCCTTCGTTTGGACAATTTTTCATAATTGATCAAAATGAAGCTTTAGACTATCGAATTCAACAAAATCCTGTTATAGATTACGAATTAATGACAATTTTAGATAGCATAATACGTAATAATAATATTTATGCAAAATCTTATCAGATGATGAACGACGAAATACGTGTACAGCAGATGATAACTGAAATAAATGGAAATTCAAAGCAATCCGAATTGCAATTATTATTTTCATTAAAACCTGGTCAAGACAGTCGGCGATATAATTTTCAACGAGTGAATGAAGTTGCTGCAATTTTTTCGACAACTGCTGACGGTGAAATACCTGAATCATATGTAACAATAAGAAATAAAAATACAAAAACGTTACAATGTGTTAGTTCCTTAGATCCTAATGTTGAGCCATGGATTTATCCTTTATTCTACCCATATGGTTCTCAAGGTTGGCATCAAAATATGTTCCGCATAAATCAAAATCGTAGAATTACACGATTAGATTATACTAAATATCGAATGGCCATAAGAGAAAATGAATTTAACCCTATTATAAGAGGACGTAGACTGTTTCAACAGTGGGCTGTGGATAGTTATGTAAAAATTGAAAAAGATAGAATTCAGTATTGCAAAAATCATCAAAAAGAATTGAGAGCTGATACATATCAAGGTTTACATTATCACATGAGAAATTGTGCAAATGATGTAAATGGACGTGTAGGTAAAACTATAATTCTTCCTTCAACATTTACGGGTTCTCCACGATATATGCAACAATGTTATCAAGATGCAATGGCTATTGTTAATGAAACAGGAAAACCTGATATTTTTCTAACAATGACATGCAACCCGAATTGGCCAGAAATATCAGAAAATTTGTTGCCAGGCCAACAAGCTGCCGACAGACCAGATTTGGTAGCAAGAGTTTTCGATCTGAAAAAGGATCGTTTACTTGATATTGTTATAAAAAAAAAATTCTTCGGAAAAGTTGCATCTTACGTATATGTTATTGAATTTCAAAAGAGGGGGTTGCCACATATGCATTTACTAATCACATTAGAACAAGGATATAAAATTACTACTTCTGATATAGTTGATAAATTCATATCAGCTGAAATTCCGATACAAATAAGACATCCGCATTTATTTGACATCGTTATGAAGAACATGATTCATGGACCTTGCGGTGACTGGTGTATGAAGGATGGCAAATGCTCCAAAAATTTTTCTAAACAATTCCAAGAAGAAACAACGATGGATGAAAATGGGTATCCACATTATCGTCGAAGTAATGTTAATGAAAATAATCAATGGGTTGTTCCACATTGTGCTGAATTACTACTGATGTTCGACTGCCACATTAACGTGGAAATTGTCTCAAGTATTACAGCTGTCAAATATTTGTATAAATATATTTATAAAGGACATGATGCAGCTACAGTTGTCATTGGCCAAACAGAAAATGATACCTCCATCGAACACGATGAATGTCGTAATTTTATTGAAACACGTTATGTTGGTCCTGTAGAAGCATGTTACCGAATTTTCAATAAAGCACTGCAGGATAAAAGTCACTCTGTTCAGAGACTTACATTACATTTACCAAATGAACAAGCAGTACTCATTGTAGACAATGAAGATGAAGCTTCATGGTTAGCAAATTTAAATAATTCCAGTAGTATGCTACTTGATTTTTTCACTTTGAATGCTACTAATGAAACAGCTAGACAATATTATTACACTGAAATTCCTAAATACTTTACTTATAAGAAAAAAAAAGTTGATGGTCAATCTGTTTCTTCTTGGGAAACTCGAAAAAAACATTTTAATGTAATAGGCCGTATGTATTCTGTGAGTCCTACACAAATTGAATTATTTCACTTAAGATTATTATTATTACATGTGAAAGGTGCTGTTAGTTACAACGACTTGAAGACTGTAGATGGTGTACTGCACCCTTCTTTCACAGCTACATGTCTAGCATTAGGAATTATTGAAGATGATGATGAGTGGGACAAAGCAATGAAAGAAGCAGTAACTTGGATGATGCCTAGACATCTAAGACATCTATTTGTTCGTATATTAATTCACTGTCAACCTATTCATCCTGAAAAGTTATGGGAAACGTTCAAAAACTCAATGTCTGAAGATTTTGCGCGACACAATGAAATAAATATCAGTCATCAAATGGCTTATTCTGAAATAAATGAAATTTTAATAGGAGAGGGGAAAAGTTTGGCCGACTTTCCAACAATGGATCAAAATGTTATCAATATTATAAGAGACAATAATAATACTGATGAAGTAAATCATTTGTGGGAAGCTGGCATTCAATAATATCAGAAATTAAATGCTGAACAGAAAACAATTGTAGATATCATTCTTCAGGTGTCGCGTTCAAGTCACTATGCTGGGTCCACTTGCTTCTACATAGACGGACAAGGAGGATCCGGAAAAACTTTCGTTTACACTACCATTTACAATATTTTAATGTCAGAAAATATCTTATGTTCCACAATGGCATACACAGGTATTGCCGCCACATTATTACCTAATGGAAAAACTGTACACAAAACATTCGGCTTACCAGTTCCTATATTTAATGATTCATCATCAAATATTAAAATACAATCTAAAGATGGTATACTTTTAAGAAATACTCAAGTATTTATTTGGGACGAAGCGCCAATGGCTCCAAGATATGCTTTAGAAATCATTGATAGAACATTAAAATATATCATGAACAATGATTTACCTTTTGGTGGAAAAATAATGGTTTTAGGTGGTGACTTTAGGCAACTGCTTCCGATTAAAGTGAACGGTACGCGTAATGAAATATTAAATTTATCTATTAAAAACAGTCATTTATGGTCATACTTTTCGAACTTCCAATTGCAAACTAATATGAGAGTCTTACCGCACCAAATTGAATTTGCAAATTACTTATTGCATGTTGGGAATGGAACATTGAACGATCAAGATAATAATCTACAGCTACCAGAACATTGCATACTGCCTACAAATGAATGTATTGTTCAAAACATTTTTGGCAAGTTAATCAAAGATAAAAAATTTGATGAAATTAGTCATTGCGCTATTTTATCTGCTAGAAATGTTGATGTAGATGAAATGAACAATAAAATTACTGATTTATTTGATAAAAATATAGAACACTTATACACTGGTATTGATAGTACAGATAACTGTGATAATGGCGAAATGGAAGATGTTCTTTTACCGGAATATCTTAATTCATTAAATCCACCAAATTTCCCTCCTTACAAATTACGTTTGAGAAAATTTTGCATTGTTATGTTGATTAGAAATATAAGTCTTAGTGAAGGGTTATGTAATGGAACAAGGTTACAAATACTTGAGTTTTCTAATCATTTGTTAAAATGTAAAATCTTAACGGGCGACAAACGGAACAATATTATATTCCTCAATCGAATCACATTATACTGTGAAAATCAATATCCGTTCACTTTCAAAAGACGTCAGTTTCCAATTCGAATGGCTTTTGCTATAACCATCAATAAATCTCAAGGACAAACATTGGACAAAATAGGTATTGATCTTCGACGAGATGTTTTTAATCATGGACAACTTTACGTAGCTATGTCTAGAGTAAGATCATGGGATTCATTGAAAATTTATCTAGGAAACCAAAGGGAGAATCTGAGTGTAAAGAACTATGTATACACAGAATTATACAAATGAAAATGTTTTTTCAATATCAAACATTACGTTTATAAATTTATCTAGGAAACCAAGGGAAGAATCTGAGTGTAAAGAACTATGTATACACAGAATTATACAAATGAAAATTTTTTTCAATATCAAACATTACGTTTATAAATTTATCTAGGAAACCAAAGGAAGAATCTGAGTGTAAAGAACTATGTATACACAGAATTATACAAATGAAAATTTTTTTCAATATCAAACATTACGTTTATAAATCGTAAAATTACATTTAACGAAAGAAAATTAGCTTATAACAACTTGCACTTATGATTTATCATAGTATCCCCCGAATAAAAAACTTCAGCTATTGTAAACCAACAATTTTATAAACTGTTCTATTTACTGTTTCAAATGATATAAACTTCAGTTATACGTTATACAGAATTACCGAAAACATGTATTAATGCGCGCAACGCGCGCTATTGTGATTCTAGTGTTAAAGAAAATTGAAATAGTGTAAAAAATACAGAATGTAATATACATAATTTAAGCATAATTTGCACTTATCACAAAAATCATAGTAAAAAGTTATTAACTTACAAAGTTAGTTAATTCAATAGCGCAAATTTTACAGTACAATAATTAAAATCTTTTACATAACAAAATAACTTATCACTTATAGACATCATTATAAATAATTGGGGGGGAGGGGGTGTAACGGACAAAAACGATTATTTTATGGCTGATTTTGCTTGCGACATTAGGTGTTAGAAATACTTTTAACTCCACCAAATGGGAAGATATTCTGTTTTCTACATGAGCTTTCTAAGTTCCTATCTACCTCATGCAGGTACGAGGAATTACCTACGAGAAAGACGGATCACGTACGAGACGATTGAAGGACATGCTAACAGATGCATCACTGCGGGCGTTAACCAGGGGTCAATTCTGGGACAAGATTTTTGGAACGCAATTTACGACGACCTACTAAGGCTGGATATACCGGAGAACGTCTTACTGGTCGTTTATGCTGGCAATGTAGTGGTAGTAATCGTCCAACGAGATTCGGAGTTGGCATAGCTGACGCTGAGCCCGGACTGTCACTGGTTTTAGGAAAGATAGAGATAATTCTGCCGACAGGAGAGAGAATTTGAACCCTTATTCCAATATCAGTAAAGACAGAATAGATGGAAACCAAGGAGATGGTGAAATATTTAGGGATGATTCTGGATACGATAGCTGATCTTTAGGCCTTAGACCGTACAGGAAACGGCCGACAAGACGGCATCGAAGGTCTTTTCGCTCTCCTGCCTCATGGCATATATATATGGTCACAAACAACACGTATGGACCGAGAAAAAGGAAGAGACACCTAGTAATGTCGACGGTCCATTCGATCATGTTGTACGATGTGAAAATCTAAGCTAACGCGCTTGAAATTAAGAAGACCAACGGACGTACAGGGACAAGGAGCATTGCGGATACTGTGCGCCTATAGGACTATCTCGGCTGAAACAGTCCTGTTCGTGACGGGCGTTATTCCCATAAACCTTCTCGCCAAAGAACGGAAACGGACGTACGAGACAAGCGCTGAGGTAGGAAGAACCAACGCGGCAGTTCTAGAACGAGACAAAACACTAAACGACTGAAACGAACAAGATGACAACGTGGACAAGCCACTTGATAAGTGGTCTGAAACCATGGACGCTGCAAGGGTTCGAGAAGGTTGACTTCTCGAATGTAGAGCACACTTTTTACTAGTGCTTACATGGACCACGGACAGACTGCAACTGGAAACGAAGAGTGGTACAGTTATGCCGGATAATACTGTGAGGAAAATGTTACGCGACGAGGATAGCTGGATAGCGGTCGCTACCTTTATTGTCCTAAGAAGGAAGAAAGCGATAGGATGCCTGGAATTTTAATAAAGGTATGAGTAATACCAGGGCTGAAAGTAATACGAAAGTAGTCCCATGCCCCGGCTTCAACAGAAGGTGGAATTTTCCATTCAGGGGCATGCTTCGGAATACCCTCAGGGTCATGCTCGACGGATGGCGGGTTAAACAGTTCCCATGGGTCACCGAAGCCCCTGCAGGGGATAGGCTGGAGCAATCGAGTTAACCTGCTGCTAAAGCGGACGTGTCTTCAGAAACATTCACACTGATGGGGTCTCGACACCTGTTTTAGTAGATAAGACGGCCGCCGCTGATAGTTTGGTCTAGACAGATTCCCCGTTTTTTTACGACAAAAAAAAATCAACAACAAAAAAAATCATAGTTTTTATCGTGTGATTAACTCATTGCATCAAGTTAGATTTAGGTGAATAGGGAGTACAAATCCCATGGTAAATTCAGTGTGCGTCAAAAGAGTCGTTAATTAGCTTATTTTTAGTATAACCATAAATAACTTCTTATAGACGGGTAACGATATGTTTACCCATGAGACCAGCAGGAACTTTCTGCTCAACTTTCATTTGTTAGCAAATTGAAAAATTACGCACAAAATGTGCGACATCTTTATAGTTATTTGGCAAATAATAACGGAGGACTGTTTATTGATGAGTCTTGTAACAAGACTTGGGCTTGTAAACTTAGGCTCGTTGTTGGCTTGTAACCTATACTCCATAAAATCTTTCTTGCGTTATCCTATCGGAATCACCAGCTTACATCATCAATATAATGCAAAAAATTTGTTTATTTAGGAAATAGTATTCAAAGATATAATTAAAAAAAATACATACCACAGCAGACACTGAGGTATAGATTTGTGTTACTTGAACATGACGCTTCTTAAGTTTCAGTGCGCGTTTGTTTCTCAAACTTTCTAACGAATAAAAGGAATTAAACAAAAGTAAATGAAATTTTGTGAAATGTCAGGCATATTTGTGGCATTAAATATATCTATTTATATTTAAAAGAGGGAGTGGGTTTCGACTCGTGGAAGGGAGTAGACATGTTTTGAGGGATTTAAGAGCGGTATGGGAGGAAGAAAGGAGACAATAGACAGAAATGTTTAAAGAAATGATGGAAAAATGGAAAGAATAGAGACAGAGAAGAAAGATGGGAGAAAGAAATAGGAAAAGTTAGGAAAAAACAAGAGAGAGAGAGAGAGAGAGAGAAGAAACGGTGAGAGAGACAAAAGAAGAAAGGGAAAAAGCAGAACTTAGAGAAAAGAAACTGCAGGAAAAATGGGAAGAGAGGATGAAAGAGTTGGAATAAGTTGGAAGAAGACTAGTTGGAAGAAGAGTGCGTGAAACTAAAAGAAAGTATAGAGGGAGGAAACGAGAAGCAAAGAGGAATAGAAGTAGGAAATAAAGAAGAAATAGTGTATACGAGAGGTCAAATGGATAGAGAAATTAGTATAAACAATATAATAGTGACAGACTTAGAGGGTGTGTTAAGATGGGAAAAGAAGGGTGAGGCAGAGGACTAGTTAAGAGAGGAACTAGAAATGAAAGGGGAGATAGTGAATCTGAGAAGAATAGGAGGGACAGCGGGGAGGAATGATCGGATAGAAAGAGGAAAAAAGATGTGGCAAATTAGATGCGCTTCATGGGAACAAAAAGAAGGAATTATGAAGAGGAAAAAGAAGCTCGGGCAGAAAAAGATCTTCATAGATCAGGACTGGACGTGAAAGCAGAGGAAGATAAGAGAGGAAGTAAAAAGGAAAGCGAGAGAAATAAAAAGTAAAGGCAAAGAGGTAAAGATAAGGCATAACGGGTTGAAGTCAGAGGAAGAAGAATGGTGGTGGAGCGAGAAAGAGGAAAAAATGGTAGGAAAAAGGGCGAAAGGGTTTCGAAAACAATAGGGAAAAAGAGAGAGAGGAGGGAAGGGAGAGGGAGAGAAGAAAGGCAGTAAAGATACTATTCTGGAACGTGGTGGGGATTAGGAGGATGGTGGAAGACGACTGGGAATATATTAGCGAATTTGATATACGAGGTCTGTCCGAAAAGTATCGGGCCTACGTTTATATCTTCGCGCCATAGTGTTCGAGCGACCTCTACCGGACAGAAACGTCAACAGTAAAGCCTTACGAATCTATTGGTTACTAACTGACACCTGCCGGACGTATAGTTCATGCGCAGCGTGTCTTTATTTACAGTGCTTTTTTCGCGTTCGTCTGATTTAGATATTGTCAAAAATGACTGAAAAACAAGATCAACGAATTTGCATCAAATTTTGCTTTAAACTCGGAAAAACGAGTTCGGAAACTATTGAATTGATGCAAAAGGCCTTCGGAAGCGAGTGTATGAGCAAAACACGAATAAAAGAGTGGTATAAACGGTTCAAGGATGGTCGCACTTCTGTCGATAGTGATTCTCGTTCCGGCCAATCTTCGATGACAAAAACCGCAGATAATATTGAACGGGTGCGACTTGCAATCGAACAAGATCGTCGTATGACTGTGCGAGAGCTAGAAGAAGACCTTAGGATACCAAAAACTATCATTTCAGAAATTCGCTTAGAAATCGCTCTCGACAATCTGGAAATGGTCAATAATGATGATAATGCGCTTAGAAAAGTTATTACAGGTGATGAATCATGGGTTTATGGTTATGATCCTGAAACTAAATAACAATCTTCACAGTGGAAGCATTCTGAATCGCTAAGACCAAAAAAAGCATTACAAAGTCGGAGCAATGTTAAGTCAATGTTGATTGTTTTTTTCAATTGTGAAGGTGTTGTACATCGCGAATATGCACCAACAGGTCAGACAATCAATAAAGAATACTACGTTCAAATTTGGAAACGTTTGCGTGATGCAGTAAGAAGAAAACGGCCGCACTTTTGGGAAAGTGGTGACTGGCTTCTCCATCACGATAATGCGCCAGCGCATTCATCCAATCTTGTGCAGCAGTTTTTGAGCAAACACAATATCGCATTGCTTCGACAACCTGCGTACAGTCCCCACATAGCCCTTTGTGACTTTTGGCTGTTTTCAAAACTAAAAAAACCACTCAAAGGACACCGATTCGATGACAAAACAACGGTTGAAAACAATGCGACGAGTGTACTTAAGGCTATCCCTAAAAGTAAGTTCCAGGACTATTTTGAAAAGTGGAAACATCGATGGAACCGTGTTATTCAATCAAGTGGGGATTACTTTGAAGGACACCACCCACCAGATGATAAAGAATAACGCTAGCACGAAAATATAAAGGTAGGCCCGATACTTTCCGGACAGACCTCGTATATAAGACATCTCAAAAACAAGTTCATTTGGTTCAAAAGCAAATTTCGTCTGTCATTTATTTGAGCTTCAGATGTCCTTCAAACGTCATATTGGAAAAAACCAAGGATATGTATATAAAATTAAAATTTTTCGCTTTTTCTAAATCCATAGCCGAATTATCAATTCTGTTGTAATAAATTTATTTAACCTTTAAATAAAATTGAACCTGACGTGATAGAAGTTAATGAACCTCGGATTCATGTTCAGAACATCCAAATATATAAAAATTGTGTGGTATGGTTAAATAGTCATCAATTTTTTTTATTACGTAAACCTATCTAAACTTAAAAGACTTATATAAAGAAAACCAAGAAAGAAATAAAATTTTAAATATACTAGGAACAGTAGAAAGATAAAATAAAAGTATAAACAAACTTACAAAGGAAATATTAAAACTTATTGTATAAAAAACAAAAAGTGAAGACAGCACAAGCTTAGCAAATGTAGTAACTTACTACTTAATGTAAGTCAAAACTATACAAACTAAAAAGAATTCTAGCATAAACTTTATTTATATTACCATTATATATATTGTTTATATTATAGTATCATTATACTATAATAATAGTCACAGTCATGACGCCGAGCGAAACGGAGCTGCCCGACAGTTCACTCCTTAAGCACTACAAATGTCATCCTAATGTAAAAGTAGGAGCGGTAGTTTGCATAGTTTATGGAAATTTCTATCACAAATCAGAAATAATAGCAAAAATAAATGCTGGCACCTTAATAGAAATTATAAAAAACTTTTTTGTGATA